TGAGCACTTGGGAGTAAAAATGATCTATAAATATATTATAAAACCACCAAGTATTACTTATATTTTTATTATTTTTTGAGTACCAAAGTGACATAAAAGCATAATAAAATTGAAGTCCCCCATAATCCTGTCCTTTAGACAAGTATTTTAATATCTGGTGCAGTACACAAAGCTAACCTTTTCCTGAGTTTTAATACAGTGTAAGTTACAAAGTAGGAAATTCAAAGATGGGGGTTCAAAGCTAGAACCCTGAGTCCAAACACATGATCTTAAGCACGATGTCAGCCTACTAGTGTGAAGGCTAAAAACAAACTGAATGATCCAGAATGAGAAGCAGCATCCTCATTAACATGGAGTATATGCAGATTGGCAGGAGAGACAATGTTCCTTTTGACATTTTTGAAACTTACTGATTTCACATTTATTCCAGGAAAGAAGCCATTGATGACGACATGAATGGAATCTCGCAGCATGGTGGCTCGAAACTTTTCTAGTAAATCTCTCTTAGAACCCAAACCATAAAGCACAATGTTGAACCCCAGGCTGTCAGGAAAGATAGCATTCGTGAAATTAAAGTTAAGTACCTCTTCTTGCCAACCAGTTTATAATCAACCAGTTTCCTTACTGTATGCTTATAAAGAACATAGGAAGAACTTAGATGTCTAAATAACTATATTGATTCCCAACTTATACAAGGTAAAAGCCCAATTTTATTATCTGTACACCAAGCTTACAGTTGCAATTTTAGTAGCTTTCTCTCCAGCTCATATTACTTTCAAGCGACAGATGCCCAGAAGTAAAGGGAGAACATGATAGGTACAAGGCATTAAAAAGTTTTACAGGCTGAACGAGAGTTTTAATTGATAGATTAAATTGGAAAGGTAAGCAGAGGCTAGGTCACAAAGGCCTTGTTAAATCAATTTAAGACATTAATTAGATTTTATTCCAAGGACTATGAGCATTTTATAAGTAACTAGTCAGGCGTTAACTGAAAGGTTTTAAGTAGGAAATACCATGNAATCTAATTTCACTGTTAATCAACATCTGAATATTTATTGGTATATTAAATACAAGTTAAAAAGTTAAACTATATTAGTACTACTAAGGCATCCTCTTAAAAAATTTAATAGTTTAACATTTTACATTCTACAGGATTATTAGTTTTGAGTTAAATTGCAAAAAATAAATGTTGCAATACCATGAAGAGTAGAAAAAGACCAAAATAATAGTTGGTTCTCCTCTCCTTCATAAGGCTTTAGGTATTAAACACCTCCTTTAGAATCTGAATTTTTATTTCCAAGAATTATGTTCTAAAACAGATTAAGAACACCTCTCTTTTCGCAACCTGTGTCTTTAAACATGCAACATAGAAAACTGTACTGAAAAATAAAAATGTTGTGACTTACAACATTAAGAAATTAATTTTATAAGATTGATATCTCAAGAAAGAAAAATAGTAATATTTAACTTACTGAGAGGAGCATTGATGTGATCAATAGAAGCTATAAGGTATATGTTACGTAAAGATGACAACTGTCCAATAATTTGCTGGCTTTTGTCTCCTCTCAACATTTGGCTATCCAAGTTGTGGATGAGAAGAAAGAGTTGTAAAGAGGAATCTAAAAGTAACAAGAATTCAGTTATTTTCAATGATATTTTTGAAATCGTGCCTATGGATTAAAGAATATATCAAAGTACTACAGGACAAAATAACTATTGCTTAGTAATATGCAATTTATTTGAGAAGATATGTCAATCACTCATAAAATAGGCAAGACATTACAGTCTTTAAAAATCAGTAGGGACTAGAGTGGTTAGTCTTAACTGGAATGGTTAGCACCTGAATCAGACCATAAAGAAAGCAGTTTTAATAAGGGATAGGAAATATGGCAAGACGCATAATTGGATTGGAGGTGAATTTGTGCATGTTAAACTGCAAGGTGGGAGTGGAAGGGAAATACCAAAAAAACAAAAAGAGAATTCTCATTAAGCATTATGAGTTAATACAGAAAACCGTGATTATCACAAAAGCTAAAGGAGACAAAAAAAAAAAAATGGGAGGGGGAGAGGCTTAGAATATTGCTCAAAAAATAAAGAGAGAGAAGTAAAATGTCATGAGTCAATGAAGGAAAAATTTGGAGGATGAAGCTGTCAACACCACCAAATACTATAGTGATTAAGACAAAGGATGAGCCAAGGCCAATGTGTTTATTGAGAAGGAAATTATAGATGATCTTCAAGTATACAGTTCAGGTAGCACAGAAGCAAGAAATTAAGAAAAAAAAAAGGTAAAAAGTAGAAGGCAGGACATGTCTTCAAAAACTCTAAATCATTGGGCTGGCTGAGTGGTGTGTTGGTTAGGAGTTAGCTTGGGACGCCAGCTTTGAGCAGCAGGGCCCCAGTTTGGATTCCACATGAGGGCCAGTGA